ATACACACTGACCAAGTGGGATTCATCACAGGGATGCAGGGATGGTTCAGCATACACAAATCAATAAATGCAATACAATATATTAACAGAGACAAGCACAAAAACCATATGATCATCTTAATAGATGCACAAAAGGCATTCCACAAAATCCAACACCCATTTATGATTAAAAAAAAAACCTACAAAAAATTGGAATAGTCTGTCTTAAACTGGTAAAAGCCATCTATGAAAACCTAACAGCTAATACCACATTAAATGGTCAAAAACTGAAATATTTCACACTAAAATCAAGGATGTTTACTATCACCACTCCTGTTCAGTCTAGTTCTAGAAACATTAGCCACAGCAACTGGACAAGAGAAAGAAAAAAAAAGGAATAAAGATAGGAAGTATAGAAGTTAAACTGTCATTATTTGCAGATGACATGATACTCTACATAGAAGATCCCAAGAAATCCACCAGAAGTCTTCTGGACTTTATAAGCAAATTTAGTAGAGTAGCTGGATACAAAGTCAACATTCAAAAATCAATAGTCTCCCTATACACAAACAACAGACTCATTGAGAGAGGAGCAGTGGAAACAACTCTTATTACAATAGCATCTCCCCAAAAAAAGAAATACCTAGGAATCAATCTAACAAAAGAAATAAAAGACCTCTACTCTGAAAACTACAGCACTCTGAAAAAAGAGACCAAAGAGGATATCAGAAAATGGAAAGACATCCCTTGCTCCTGGGTAGAAAGAAGCGATATAGTGAAAATGGCCATACTTCCAAAACTGCTAGATAGATTTAATACAATCCTGACTGAAATTCCAACAGTATACTTCACAGACCTTGAGAAAACAATTCAAAAATTCATTTTGAACAAGAAGAGACCTAGAATAGCAAAAGCAATTCTAGGCAACAAAGACAAGATAGGGGGGTCTTACAATCCCCAACTTGAAACTATACCACAAAGCTACTCTGGTAAATGCCAGCAAAGAAACAGACCTGAGGATCAGTGAAACAGATTGGAAGATGAAGAAACACCTCCAGCTATACTCAGCCACCTCATCTTTGACAAAGGAGCCAAACACCCTCACTGGAGGAAAGATAGCCTCTTTAATAAATGGTGCTGGAAAAATTGGGTTTCAACTTGCCAAAGATTAAAACTAGACCTATATATCTCGCCAAGCACTAAACTAAAATAATAATGGATCAAAGCTTTAAACACTAAACAGAAACAGTAAACCAGCTGGAAGAGAAGTTTAGGTAGACCTCTTAAAGACAGTGGCATAGGAAAAGATTTCATGAACAAAACTTCAGTCACACATGAACTAGCACAAACAATCAACAACTTGGATTACATCTTATTAAAAAACTTCTGCACAGCAAGAGAAACCACCAACAGAGTGAAAGGGCAATCCACAATGTGGGAAAAAAAATTACCAGCTATTTCCCAGACAATGCTCTACTATCTAGAATATACAAAGAACTTAAAAAAAAATGAGACTTCCCAAATTGAAAGACCCAATTCAAAACTGGGCATCTGAAATGAACAGACATTTCTCAGACAAAGAAGTAGAAATAGCAAATAAACATAGAAAAAGTTCAACGTCACTGGTCATTTGAGAGATGCAAATGAAAACAACCATGAGATTCCACTTCACTCCAGAAAGAATGGCTGCTATCAAGAAATCAACCAGTGCTCACTTCGGCAGCACATATACTAAATTTGGAATGTTACAGAGAAGATTAGCATGGCCCCTGAGCAAGGATGACATGCAAATTCATGAAGTGTTCCATATTAAAGAAAAGAAATCAACCAATAACAAATGTTGGCAGGGTTGTGGGGAAAAGGGAACCCTTCTCCACTGTTGGTTCAAGTGTAGACCGATGAAACCACTGTGGTGATCAGTATGGGTATACCTCAAAACACTAGGATTAGAGGTCCCAGTTGACCCAGCTATTCCCCTGCTGGGTATCTTCCCAAATGAATCAAAATAATCATATCATAGCGATATATGTGCACTTATGTTTATAGCAGCACAGTTTGTAATAGCTACAACTTGGAAACAGCCCAGTTGCCCATCAACTGGTGACTGGATAAAGAAGACGTGCTTTTTTGTTTGTTTGTTTGTTTGTTTGTTTTTTAAGAAATGGAGTACTACTCAGCCATAAGAATGAGAAACTGGAAACATCTATACCTAAATGGATGCACACTGAGGCCATATTCTTAAATTAAATAAATAGGACACACATGTATAAATACCGAATAGTTTCTCTGGTGTGAGAAAGTGAAAGTGTAAATAAGGATCAAAATATACAATAGATAATGTGAAATAGGAAGAGAAGGCCCAAAGGGAAAGGGGTATGGGAAGGGAAAGGAATAAATATAAGAAAAGGAAAAAATGGAAACAAAGTTTTAATAAATAGGGAGGAACGGAGGGGTGGAAGGGAGGGCTGGAAAATGGGCAAAAAAAAATAAGAGGCAAGATATATCATACAAATCATATTGTATTCCTAAAATGTACAAATAAACTTAATGAATTTAAAAAATAAACAGCACTAGGAAAATGAGATATATATATTAATAACAATGACATTTGATTCTCTCAGACTATGTTCAAAAGTCAACTCAAAATACATTAAAAATTTAAATATAATATTTGAAATGATAAAACTACCAAAATAAAAGAGAAATACTCCATGAAATTGGTCTGGACAATGATATTTGGGATATGACCTCAAAAGCACAGGCAACAAAAAAAGAAATAGACAAATGGGTTTATATCAAAACTAAAAAGCTGTGCACAACCAATGAAGTAATGAACACAACAAAGAAGCAACCCACGGAATGGGAGAAAACATTTGAACATCCCACATCTGATAAGAGGTTAATGTTCAAAATGCAGAAAGAACCCAAACTAATAGAAAAAACATAACTTTATATTTTTAAATGGGCAAATATTTCTCAAAAGAAGACATACAAATGGGCAAGAGGCTCATGAAAAAAATGCTCAGCATCATTAATCATTAGAAAAATGCTATTTAAAACTACAACGAGCTATCATTTCATACTGGTTACAATGGCTGTTATTAAAAAGATGAAAGGTTTTTCACAGCAGAGAAACTATTTGGTATTTACACCTGTGTGTCCTATTTATTTCACTTAAAAGTATGGCCTCAATGTATATCCATTTAGCTATAAATGTCTCTAGTTTCTCATTCTTTATGGCTGAGTACTCCATTTTACATATATTTTAAAAAACACTTCTTTTTTATCTAGTCTCCAGCTGATGGGCCATTGGTCTATTTCCAGGATTTAGCTATTACAAACTGTGCCGCTTTAAACATGGGTGTGCATATATTACTGTGGTGTGTAAATAAGGTTCAAAATTTATAATTGCTAGTGTGAAATAGGAAGAAAAGGTCTAAAGGAATAGGGGAAGTAGGAGGAGCAGGGGAAAGGAAAGAAGGGAAAAGAAAAAAAGATGAGAAAAGTAAAAACATGGAACCAAAGACTGCAAATAAGGAAGGGTGGAGAGGGCGAAGGGAGAGCAGGGGAATGGGTAAAGAATAAGAACCATGATACATCATGTAAAGGTACAAGATCCCAATGATTAATATAACTGTATTGTATACCTAAAATGTACCAATAAAATTAAAGAGGAAAAAAAAAGATGAAAGCTAAGTGTCGGGGAGGATGTAAAGAGAACCCCTGCATACCGTTGGCAAGAATGTAAGCTGTACATCATATGGAAAAACTGTTGGAGGTTTCTCAAAAAACTAAAAACAGGACCACTGTATGATCCATTAACCCCACTTCTGGTCATATTTCCAAATAAATTGAACTCAGTTAAGTTGAAAAATACCTACACTCCCGTGTTCACGGCATCATATTCACAGTAGTCTGTTCTTCTGGTTTCCGAAAGAAGAGAATGTGAGTGTGTATGTGAAAATATCAAGGTAGGATGTGTAAAATGATACAACAGGGAACCCGTGTGCTTGAACTTTGAGAGGAGAAATAATACCATCAGCAGAGGGGGGCCCAAAAGATCACCTTCAGTGAGAGCAGGGTTAGAATTTAATAACATTAAAGGAATACCTGAACATTCCTGGGAAGAAAAGTGCCTGAGTATCAAAAGCATAGGAAAGCCCTAGGAATCCAAGGACAAAATTAATAATTACCTGAGCAACATTTAGTGACTAACTGGAGAAGGATAAGAGAACTTCAGAACAGGCTCTAAAGGCTTTCAAGAGCAAGTAGAAAGAATTTAGGTTTCATTCAGTAGCCAATGGACAGTCACAGACATTTTAAAGATGGAAAGTATGGTTATTTCCTTGAGGAAATCAGCTTAGTGGCAGAGGGAGAGGAAAGACCAGAGGCAGGGAGGACAATCACTTTGTCCAGATGTAGCAGGGAGAGAAAAAAAGGAATGGGCACAAGCAACACTGTGGGAGTATGCCAAACAATGCTCAAAGATTAGAAGTGGAAAGCAAGGGCAAGGCATAGTTCACTGAAGACTTGGATTTTGAGCCTGCATGAATGAGGAAACAGAAATCAAGAGGAAAGTCCAAAAGATAGGACACTGAAGAGTTAATTCAGAGTTAATAGATTGTAGACTTAAAAAGGAATAGGTGAATAAATATATGTAGATCTAAAAGGCAATATATTATAGAGTAATCTGCATTAGAGGTATAAGTTTTGAGAATTCAAAGAATGAAGCAAATCTATTTCAATTATTTGTTCCCATTCAAACTACTTTCTCTGAAATCAACATCATTTTCTGGATGACAAGATTAATTATCTTCAAAATAATGTATTTCATAAGGCTACTAATCTCAACCTTGCTCTCATAAGAACACTGATAAATATATTCTTATGTTCACATGCTTATTAATATCATCTGTGACTTGCAAATATATCTTTCTGTCCTGCTCTACCCCAAATCATAATATTATTATTGAGTTACCTCTATGAATTACTCCCCAAAACATATGTTCCCAAAGCCTCACCTGCTGTTGGTTCCTCAGAAAGGTTGAGTTGCAGGTGCTGGTCTTCTAATGAAAGGCTCCTACTGACACTGTACAGTGGATCATCCAGAAAAGAAGGCCTTTGCAGTCTCCCAATGCCAACAGTCTTTGACATAAAATAGTATTCCGTGTTACTAATAACCTCATCCTTGGAAAACTGGAGGCACTTCATTTTCTCTGCTTCGATGGCAAGAGCTTCTGACATATAACGCCCAGCCAGGGCTTTAGTGAGATAATAACCCATGGGAGCTTCACATTCTGCATTCTCTTGCATATTGACATCTTCCACCCCTGCTTTCTGGACTTCTGCATCTGATCCATTTAGTAACTCCGAAAGGATAGATCTGGAAAGCTGGGGGGACTCGGGTGTCTTATCCTCAGTATCTTCATTTTCTCTTTCGGAAATCCATGCAGTGATGGAATTCTGTCTGAATGTGCACTTATCCAGAAGATACTTTAACTGTTCATCAGAGAGAAGTGATGTGGAATCTAGCTGAGGAAACAAACCAAGTTTTTATAGACAATTGATTAAGTAAATGTGTTCAATTTTGGTTAAGTTTCCTGTAGTACAAAATAAATGCCAGTGCCAAGAATTCCCTCTATATCATACATCTAAGTAGGAAAATAATTCACTTTAAAGTATCCAAGTGCAGGAAAAATGTATGGCAGCCCTAAAGAATAAGCTTCAAATCATTCATGTACAACTATGGTGGGAGAAGGAATTCTATAACACTGATGAAAATAAATTACTATACCAAATTAATACTAACACCCTTTCTACATCTGAGTTTAAATGCACAGATCAGAAAAATAGCCTTCAATTGTAAAAGTTCTGGTTCATCAAGCAGGAAAAGTAAAGGCAATCTCCTCTCTGATAAACAGCCAGGAATCCTGCCATAATCTCTAGTACACATTTCTCTGTCTCCACTCTTTCCTCAAAATGACCCGCCACCACCCAAGTACAAAACTCTGGGGGTAGAGGGGGTCTCAGACAATGAGGGAGAACCACACCTGCCCCCTCCAGCTTTGCCACACCTACATCTATCCACAGCTTGCAGCACACAACACTGCTGAAGACAGAGCAGGAAGGGCAAAGGAACGGCACATCCTGACATGTGCAATGGCTTCAAAGCTACAGGTCTAGGCAGGGGCAGGGGTATTCCAAGAGTAGTGCATTGTGAATTAAGGACTGGATCAGACACACAGTATTCAATCTCTGCTTATAAGGACTGTCAGAACTGGCTGTTTCAGCCACCACCTTAAGGACTTCAAAACACACTTTTCTTTGATAACATTCTTAGGAAATATTTAAAAATTAATCAACTGAAAACAAAGGACCATGTTTTATAAGAATTCAACTAAACAGTGCTTGCTTCAGCAACACATACACTAAAATTGGAACAATACAGAATTCAACTAAACAACAGGTCACTTGAGCTTCAACAAAAATGAATAGTACTGAAATATATGTAAACATATTGGAAAAAATATGTCTCCTCCTCTAACGAATCATCATCTTCCTGCATTTACATGGTAAATTACCCAGGGAGACATTAATCCTTCTTTAAAGAGAAATGGATTGCCTGAGAAATAGAAGTCTACCATAAGAGATCTTAATGATTAATGTCAATGGTCTTAATTTCTGTTTTAGCAAAGTAAAAAATATTATTGCCTTGTTTTGAAAGTACACAGTAAGAAATAACTAAATACTCTGTATATGCAAAGCACCAGGGGGAAAAATTGCCATTGGAAGCAGTTAACTCATTATTATGGAATACTTTAATGTACAAACAATAAAAAGCATATAAAGCAAGCTTTGTATGCTTTGAAAATATATAATGTATTTTAAAATTATATTTAACTTCTCTACATTAAAACTCACACTGGCTAGTACCACTGTGAGCTTCAGAATAATAAAGACGTTGGAAATTTATTCTTACTCATCACCTGGAATACACAATTCAACCCATTCAAACATGTTAAGAAGTAGGAGTTGAATTGCGTATTAGCAACTCCTACTTTTGATCACTAACCACTTCAGGGAGTATCCAGATGTGGGACTTTACCCATCATCAGGAGTACTTCCTTCACTCTATCAGGGAGACCTGCCATAGTCAGCTAGAAAATGCAGGCAGGCCAGGTAGTACGCCAGGAACTTAAAATATACTTTCAAATTTTGTTAATATAAAACCGCTGTGGGTATGCAAAATGCAGGGCGAATGGTTAGATGTTAAACTTTTTATTACAGTAAAAGACACACTGCCATTAATCCTCCCTAAAAAGTACTTTTCCTTGCTTTGAACACACCCATCCCATCACTCTTGCCACTTTCTGAAGCAGTTCTGGAAGTGCTCTTTCATGAGTGTCTTTATGAGACGATATTAAAAAATACAATTAATGCTGCTGTCAAGTGTCATCCAATGGAAAAGCAGGCTCGTAAAAAACAAAACCAAAAAAATACAACATTATAATGTGTCCGCATCCTACTCATTCACTGGATCTGACAACATGCAACTTCTGGCTCTGCCAAAGTCAAAATGATCATGGAAGGTAAACATTTGGAATCAATTCAGGACAACGAGTCAATTATAACGGCACAGCTAAAGACACTCAGAAAAGAGCACCTCCAGAACTCTTCAGAAAGTGCAAGAACAATGAGATAAATGTGTTCTGAGTGAGAGGGAGTATTTTGAGAGGGATTAATGGCAATGTGTCATTTACTGTAAAAAATTTTAATTTAAACACTATTTTCAACCATGCCTTATATAATGAGCAGAAAATTCCCTAGGATTTAGAAAGAATCCACGAGAAAGTCACTCTCATTAAACATCCTCACTAAAGAAGGCTTATCATGATATTTCAGACACAGGGAAAAAAGTCAGTTCATATGGGAGTAGGAGAAAAAAGGATTATGGAAGAAAAGCTTCTAGGGAACAAAAGAGTAGGAAAGACTTGGTAGATAGGCCTGGCCACTTCCATAAATAATACTAATAGGATAGATATTTGGTAGTTCTGATGATGATGAATTCACCTAGAAACACAGAAAATGAAGCAAAGGAAAAAAAACAAAGCAATTATGAACTCTGGGAAAAACAAAACTTCTATAAAAAGGAAAGAAAACCAGTGCATTCAGATATATACACAAAAACATAAGCAAAACAAAGATAAAATAACTCCTAACCCCAGGACAAACCAAAAGCTCCAAAAGAAAGGATGCCAAAGGAAACAACTTGCTTTTGCTGTATTTACACAATCAGCATAATATAAATACTAAAGCTTGAGGTAACAAAAAAAAATTGTGATTTAACTCAGAGACAGAGGAGTGTTTGGAGTAACAAAGTTAAATCCTTGATTATTATTTCAGGAGCCCAATATATAATATCTAAAATGAATCAATTAAAAAGTTATTAAAAAACAATATAGAGGTAAATGTTAGGGGAAACATCTGAAGGAATTAAAAGTGATACAGGAGAACAAATCAAGATATAGGAAAGTCTGAGTCAAGGAGCTACTGTTTTGTTTAAAACATTTTAGCACAACTTTATCTTATTACAATAAAATATAAATTCACTTGAAATGAAATTTAAATATATTTACAAACCTAATGAAATTAAATTTAAAATAAAAATTTGAAATAGTTAAATGAAATGCCCAACAGATTGTATCTTTGGACATCAGAAGCAGAACCAGGCTTCATGAAGCCAGAAACATACATAATCTTGGACCACTAATGTATAATCTATGAGGACAGTAAGAATATAAGATTAAAATTATAAAGTCAGACACAAGTTCACAACACATTACTGAAATCTTGGAGAGTTAAGTCCATCTCTTACATTATGTGTTTAGGTTATTGACCAAGAATGCTTACAGAAGTGTTTGATATTTCTCTTCCCATTTCCTCCTCCCATTCACTTGAACAAGTGGTGGGCCAGTCCCTGCCTGCAACGACACTGGCTTTGTAGTAAATCTGGTCCTAGATCATCTAAGACAAAACGTAACACATTTCTGCCTCTGTGCATACAGAAACAAATGAACTACAATTACTCTGATCCTCACGGAGGAAACAGCTTGATAGGAAAGAAAACATAGAAGACTAGAACCTGGGCTTCTGTCCAAGCTCTGTTGCCTGTGCATGTCCCCCAACTTCTATCTTCACCTGTGGAGGGGCTGAAGATAATTTATAAACTAACTTCTTGCTCTGAAATTGCCGCTATAAATAACTACTGTAAAGCTAAGCAGAAGAGGCTGGAGGCAGATCTCACTGGCACAGTAAGCACTTGAGCAGGACCCTGGGCTCAATCTCCAGCACTATCAAAAATAAAAATAAATGAAAGAATATAATTTTCTATCAACATAAGAGTATAGCCCAGGGTATAATTATAAGAACAAAACAATCAGAAAAAAGAGGGCTTCTATTCAGTGTCCTTACAACATCAATGGTGGAATCAAAATATTATCAGTAAAAGTTAATCAAATATATTAGGTCCCCAATTTAAATAACTGGATTAGTGATTCTGGGTGGCAGTACAGAGCAGAAACTTCAACCGGACCAACCCATCTTTCTCTCTTTTGATTCCCAGCAGAGCTTTGCCCAAAGTAGAAGCTCAGGAAATGATTATTATGAGAATCACATAAGTTCAGGCTGCCTGGAATGCTTTATAAAGTACTATACCAATATAAGTTATTTATAAGTACTGGGTTGGACTAAAGGAGAGCTCCATCACAAACATCCCTATCCCTCTGGATAGTTAAAGGACTCTAACCCGTAACCTTTATCCAGAATGCTCTCCACACTCCTGAGCTAATAAGCTCAGTGACTAAGAGCAGTCAAGGACCACCTGCTTAAGGATGCACCTCTTACACCAGCTCTAGTTTTCCATTATTTCATAAACAAGTTATTATTCTTACTATTCCCTCCCTTCATAAAATTCAACACAGTGTCTCCATCTTAATCTTTCCAGATCAGAGCCCAATCTATTTTCTGTCTTTTCCCATCTCCATTTTAGTCACCCTTTTATTAATCTTCTTTCCTGTTTTAGCCAATACACATATAGTGCATAAGTAAAGGAATGCATGACTTGTAATTTTTCCTCAGGAGAAGAATATCATATATTTGTGATGCAAGTTCTCTTTCAGCTTGCTGGTCTTGTTGGCACATGGTTGATGTCTTACAAAGTCATAATATCTAGCATTTCTTAGGTACCTCCTCTGAGCCAGGCGTTACTCTAGTGTATTACACATAATGTTTCCTTTACTCCTCACAACAAAACTATAAAGTAGGTACTATTACTATTCCCACTCTATAAATGAAGAAACTGAGGGAGCAAGAACATAAGCAGCCTGTCCAAGGTCACAGAGCTACTAAGTAGTAGGTCTGGGTCCAGGGCTTATACGTCTACCACTAGGCTATGCTGCCTGTCAACTGTGAACTAGTTCTCTCTCCACCATTCTCCAAGTGTTCTTTTCCCAGCTGGCAACACAAATTAAAAC